GGGGTCAGGTCACGGGGCTAGCAGGTCCAGCAGAGGACCCCAAACTTCCCTTTCCCTGGCCACATCAGCCAACTCTGACTGGGGGATCCCGAGGCGTTCCCAGGCCAGTATGGAGATATAATCTCTCCACCTGGTCCTCGGTCTGCCCCGTGGCCTCCTCCCAGCTGGATGTGCCAGGAACACTTCCCTCGGGAGGCGCCCTGGAGGCATTCTTACCAGATGCCCGAACCACCTCAACTGGCTCCTTTCTACATGAAGGAGCAGCGGCTCTACACCAAGCTTCTCACCCTATCCCTAAGGGAGACGCCAGCCACCCTCCTGAGGAAACCCATTTTGGCCGCTTGTACCCGCAATCTCGTTCTTTCGGTTATGACCCATCGCTCATGACCATAGGTGAGGGTAGGAACAAAGATTGACCGGTAGATCAAGAGCTTCGTCTTTCGGCTCAACTCAACTCTTCTTTTCGTGACAACAGTGCGATAAAGTGACTGCAATACCGCCCCTGCTGCCACAATTCTCCGCCCGATCTCCCGCTCCATTCTACCCTCAATATCCTGTCCATGAAAATCACAAACAGGACTGGTGCAGCCCTGGCAGAGGCCAACACCCCCTGGAAACGAGTCCGACTTACGACCAACAATCCGGACACAACTCTCGCTTTGGAAGTACGGATTGGATGGCCCTGATAAGTGACACCCTCACTCCATACTCCCGCAGCACCTCCCACAGAATATTCTGGGGAACCCAGTCAAACGCCTTCTCTCTCTCTCTAAATCCACAAAACACATGAAGACCGGATGAGCATATTCCCAGGCCCCTTCCAAGACACCTGCAAGAGTGAAGAGTTGGTCTGTTGTTCCACGACCAAAACGCGCACTGTTCCTCTTCAATCAGAGCTTCTGCAATCAACCGAACCCTCCTTTCCAGCACCTTAGAGTAAACTTTCCCAGGGAGGCTGAGTAGTGTGATGTAGTTGGCAAACACCCTCTGGTCTCCCTTTTTAAATAGGGGAACCACCACCCCAGTCCACTACTCCTTCGGCGCTGTCCCCGACTTCCACTCGATGTTGAAAAGGCGTGTCAATCAAGACAGCCCCTCAACACCCAGAGCCTTCAGCATTTCTGAGCGAATCTCAGCAATCCCCGGGGCTTTGCCACTGTTGAGTTGTTTGACTACCTCAGTAACCTCCTGTAGGGAAAATTATGTAGATCCCCCAAAAGGGGGTCTCAATCTCATATTGCCTTGGGGCCACTGTTCGTATTGTTATCTCATAGGAGGGCCAGTTCAACATTCAGGCACTACAAGAAAGTTCTGAATATTATTATATATTGTGAATAATTGTATATTTAGGTGCCATGTTTCTACAGTAGCCCAGAAGGGACAAACCAACACTGGCTCCATATAGGGCATTTTGTAAGCTTCACAGCCACCATAGTATCTCCTACACTGGTCCTTTAAAGAACATCCATCACAATGTGGCCCTTGTCAAAGTCGCTCAAATCCTCATGCTGCCCATTTTTCCAAACTGTGAGAGTGATGATATATTTTATCCTACTAATACATTGTGGCAAAACCTTACACTGAGGCAGGCATTTACAAGACTGTAACAAAAAGATATAACTGTATGTGGTGAAGAGTTACTTACCGGCATTCAGAGCTTTCAACCATGGTCTTCATCCAGCGAATAGAACTGGCTCGGGTATCATCGTGTGACCTTAACCTGGTTAACCTGCCTGAAGTAGAGGCGTACATTTAAAGCAGTGAACTTTACTGGAATTCAGTTATCATAAATGAAACTGATGCGGTCAGATTTAATGAATATTTTCAAATGTTTCGTCAAAAGCCTAAAGTGAGCTGCTGCTCAGACCGGCAGTTTGTGCGTCATAAACTGTTTGATGGTGGTGGTGTTTGTGGAGTGACCACCACAGACAGTCACTGTGGTTGTTCTGTCAGTAATTAGGACTGCTGTCTCTATCTGTGGTGACATTTCTTCTATTGACTGGATCTACAGATGATCATAGTTCATTTAAGAAATTAGGAGGAGCCATATTATCTGTCTCATCTACTACAATCAGGATATAGTGAAAGTTCCTAAAGTTATTTTTATAAAAGTTGCCTACTGCAGCTGTAATTCTTGTTAAGTGTGACTTGGTGTGTATGTGTGGGGGTCTATCTCCTGGTGGGTTTAGGGGGAGCTGGTGTGAATTTCAAGTCCAGAGCTGGTTTTTATTCCCACTTTAACCACCAGAACAGCAGACACACTGTGTGCTGATGTTGTCTGAAAGCATCAAAAGTTTCAAACTTTTCAAAGGTCTGCAGGCTGTTTTCTGCGTCTGTGTGAAGGAATGTGAAGTTGGAGGCAAGGAGAGAAGAGGAGAAAAACGTTGAGCTGTGACTGCAGATTACAGTTGCTGATCAATAACATCAATACCTGATGGTGTTCATACCGAGGACTGATTAAAGACAGAGGGCGAGACCAGGGAGGATCAGAGAGCCTCTGCATGTACGAAAAGAGGGAAAGAGGGGAAAAAATCTGGTTATAGAGCAGAAGAGAGAGAGAACAGAAAGGGTGTGTGATACATGGTCAGTGTGTGTGGAAGATCAAAGGTCAAAGCCACCTGGAGATTAGATCTATGGCCTGAGATACACGGCCAGAGGATAGAGGGAGAGAGAGGAAGAAAGAAAGAGAGAGCGAGTTTTAAATTATAAATATACAAAAAGTACAGATAAATAACACTAAAGAAACAGTTTTTAATTTTTTCTAACATGACACACTGTAAAAGTATATTTCAGTTTACTCATCATGCACTACTCAGCCCGTAAAAACAGTTGCATAATGCTCGCTGTGGCTCTGGAGGAGCTTTGTCAAGTCTGGGGAAAATAACCCCAGATTATGTCATCATGATATCATCAGTGTTTTCTCAGTTTGGAGTCGGAGTACACATTTATAACCCGCATTACAAACTGGAGGTGTGAAGAGGGTCTTTCCAGTTGCATCGTGGGAAACAAAGTGTCCAGTGTTTTTTGGAGCTCGACCTGTACTTCCAGCCTCTGCTCCTCCGATTCTGTTTTTTTTTTTATTCGGTCGAATAAACTTTATGGAAGTGCAACACTAAATCAGTGCACTACTAGGATTATTTCACAAGTTAAATCATTTGAGACAAAAAAACAACAGTGTTGGTCATTTGTTCAAATGCATGCAGCGACCGTCCTTACAAGAAGCTCCAGTTGTTGTATCTGACACCAGAGACTGTTTGCATTCCGTCTCCGAACAACATGATTACCAGGATCATGAATGATCCCCAACCATAGTTTTAGTTCTCATTTACTTCATTAACAACATATTTGAAAATGTTAAAAATAACAATAAAACAGAAAGAACACTTTTAACTTTGAAATAAAAAGAGTGAAGCAGTTCAAAGTGAATAATTGAGCATGGTTAACTTTACATGTGGAACTACAACTTTAATCGTTACTCACCCTTAAATTATGAACAGACTTCGTCTTTTATGTTTTTTAAAGTGAATGAGGTGTAAACATGAAGTTCAGTTTAAATATCAGACAGATGGAAGCAGAAGGTGTCAGAACGCTAAAGAGATCTGAGATTAAAGGAAGAGATTGATCGGCTCCTCAGTGATCAGAGACTTGTTAAAACACTTCTGCTCTCAACACATAATAATGTTAGTTAAAAGAGAGAGAGAGAGAGAGAGAGAGAGAGAGAGAGAGAGAGAGAGAGAGAGAGAGAGAGAGGTGTGTGTGTGTGTGCATCCATAATCAGTCAGACAGAAACACAGAAAGGTATGGAATACTGTAACTGAATTTTAGATGAAGGAATTAAATTAAGGTCTTGAATATTATGATTGATGTTTTCACTTTTTAGTTTCAAACTATTTTTGAGATTATTATATCAAACCCATTTTTGATTATAAGTTATAGTCAAACTTTTTAAGCAAGTCATTCAACGTGTTTACATATGTAATTACCTTCCCAGTAGGAGTTTCCATTGTTCGTGGTGGAGTCCGCCATTTCTGCACTAGATTACAAAATTGTAGCCACTTACAAATGCTTGACTGCAGTTTTTAAAAAAGCACTCACCTGGCGAACCATGGGTTGTTTTTTATTCTGAAGCAGCCACAGGAAATGCAGTGATTTGTCATAGAGGTTAGCGCTGGCTGCCATCGATCATTATAAATGTGTTTAAGAAACAAGACAAGTCATTTTTGGTCATCCATGTCAGTGAGACCTCATGTACAGGGCTCTGAAACTGGTAAAGCGAAATGAATTGCAGCCATTATTAATGTTTTTATTTACACCTGTGGTTTATGACTATGACATGTCAAAACATCTGCTGTGAGAAAGGTCTATTAAAACAATCAATCCATGGTTGCAGACAGAGCAGAGCATGTGTATTAAAAGAGAACACAGCAGATTTAGTGTTGCACTTCTGCAACAGTGTCGGACTCATGGTGGACAGTGTTTCTTCCTTTAGTTTAGAGTAACTGTCTCAAAAAAAGGCAATGATTTTCTTTTGCGTGTGGCATTTTTGTCTTTATTTGATTCACTGACAGTACCGACACAGACAGGAAACATACAGAGGGAGAGAGACCGGACATGTAACAAAGGCACCCGGCTGGAACTGAACGGGAGACACAAATGTTAAAAATAAAACTTTAAATAAAAAATGTCATCAAATAAGTGAAAATGAATGCACATACCTGCAGCTTTTTGTACATCCATGACAGACAGAGACCAGAGAAGAGACGGAGACAGCAATGTAACCTGGTCGCTACCCAGCATGCTTTATTAGCTAGGGGCTACACCCAAACACTGACCCAAAAAATGTGTTGAACACGGCAAAATAACAATATATAGGCAGAGGGATGCAGGGTCTCTGCAGATATGGGTCATAAGTGATGACTGAGAGGGATTCTTTTTTATATGACTCCATACATTGTGGCAGGAAGTTTAAAGGAGAAGGAACAGATATTTCTCACCCGCTGTTTCATTTTCATCTTTATTGGACACAGTCAACAACAACAACACATTTTAACACAACACATGTTTATACGATGCACAGTAGATTCAACCTGCTCTGTGTTACAGCAAGGGAAGCTTATATACATGCACTACATCACACACACACACACACACACACACACACACACACACACACACACACACACACACACACACACACACACACACACACACACACACACACACACACACACACACACACACAGACACACACACTTAATTATTGAGGCTGAGTTCACTGTATAAACACATAATCAAATCAAAGCAAAATTAATGAGAAAAATTGCTGATTACATTTAGTGTGAAATTCAGAAATAAATTTTTGCTGCTGACAACTAAATAAGCAAACACTTTTTAAAACACAATCAATCTGGTCATCGCACATCAGACACTAGAGGTAAATTTGTTATTCACAGTCTGAGGGACAGACTGAAGAGACTGTTTTATGAGTTCAGTTTCACAGGAAACACGAGGGTTGAGGAACGTCAGAAAATGAAGGGACCTAAAAATGTAAAAATGTTCCTTCTGTATTTATCATGTTCATATTCAAGTCACAGAAGTGTAACATTGTCATAAATAATCTTTAGAGTGCTGTAAAGCTCAATTTCAAAAACATCTGCAGTGTTTGAGTTGTTTTCAGCAACTGCTTCGCATGTCGTCTTATTTTTTCCACGTTGCTATATCTGAAGAAGAACCAGAAGATTCTTTCAGACATTTCGGTTCACTAGCTCCACCACAGAACCTTCTTTTTCTGGGTGGGTGACCTGATCTTCCTCACTTGTTACTTACTCTTCAGCTCTTCCTCTCTGCCTTCTTTATTTTTCTCACCTTTCCTCCCCTGTGAGGCTGCCAAAAACATATTTTCTCAAACTGTAAAGAGTGGTGGAGAAAACGAAAGATTAAGATCTCAAAACTGTCTGGACTTGACGTTTGTGTGTTTGTGTGTTTGTGTGTGTGTTTTGAGAAACCCATCTGACGAGCTGCTGGATATATATATATATATTTTTTTTTTTAAAGGAGAGGAAGAACTTGTGAAAAGCTTTGACACACTCGGGTTTACAGGTGTGTAACAGTGTTAGAAGCTTTCTGACAACACTAATGAAACTGACAGGAGATGGAGGGAGGAGAGGGGGAGGACAGAGACGAGGAGGGACAGAGGGAAGAAAGTTGAAGTGGAAAATATAGAATTAAAGCCAGTTAAGTGTCTAGTTAGTGCGTCAAATTATTCAAACATGTCAACAATAAAAACATCTAAACAATTGATTTCTGATTCTGGCAGAACACTGTCTCTATAAATGTAGCTGCATATATGTATATATTTATCTTCTGCATAAAACTCTGAACACTCAAACATTTTAAAACAAGAAGGTCCTGACCAACAGCCAATGTGCAAAAACATGTCACCAACTACAAAGACTCATGCTGGAAAGAAGTGTGCTTTGTTGCATCTGTAACCACACACCTGACAGTGATGTCATGGTGTACTGACACACCCTTGAGTACACTTCTACATCAATGAAGCAAGGTGAGAAATTAAACCACTGGAGGTCCACAAAAACCTTTTCAGCTGCTGTTAGTCTCTAAACCGATTGTGCTGTTAAAGCTGTTAGCATTCCTTATAAGAAGCAATCACATGGTTAGTTCCTGGCTGTTGAGCTGATTCATGCCTTCGAGGAATGTTACCAAAATTTAGTAAGTCATTTTTTTGTCATATTTGCTGAAACTTTCACTATATCATGACAGTAGTATGTTCCTCTGGCTCCTCCTAGTGCTCCTACTGACATTTGTGAAAATGCACCGTGCCTGAAAGAAAGTCTCATTCCAAGGGTCAACAACTTTGACAGGCCTGGTGGATTCTTGCAAATGCCATTAGGAGCACTTAACAAGCCAGAGGAACCTGTTTTCTTCCTAGACTATCTCTCTTATGTACTACTGTAGGGTATATAGTTGAAGTTTCAGCAAATGTGACAGGAAAATATTTTTATTAAAATTACCTACTGCAGATTTAAGAGAACAGATGCAGTTATTAAACTGTAAATGTGTCCTATTAATAACCTTTTGTTTCTTTCAATAAAAGGATTGTGTAATAAGAAGACTTTTCCATTTTTGGACCTTTTAGCTAATTTTAAATAATCTGGGCCAGTTTATGTTTCTTGTTAAAACTAAAAGAAGAAAAATCACTTCTCATTTTCTGAAAAATCTAAAGTGAAAATCTAAAGTTCACTCATTTGAACAACTAGTCAGTGCCAGGCAGACAATCACATTAGCCACAACAAATACACCAAATGGGATCAAAGCTCACTGTACAGGAATAACATTACTACATTACGCAGCAGTTCTGATATATATATCTATATATACTGTATATGTACACATTTGTATCTAGACATACCCTCCCAACACATGAGCAAGTGAAAGAGAAAAACTTGCAGGACGAAGAGTAGTCTTCACATCTATCAGTGACATATAAAGCCTCATTGTCTGCAAAAAAACACACAATCCTCACATAAAAAACAAGTGAGTTGTTTTCCTTCAAACATACAAAGAGTTTTTACATCCAAGGGGATGGAAACTCTAGAGAAGCCAGAAGGAAGTGAGTGACATGACCCGCAAAACAAAAATAAAAGGAGAAAAAGAAACTTGGGAACTTGGAGCAAAATGTGAACATAGAATGGAATCCGGTGATAAAACAGGCTGAGAACACCAAACTGTTTAAGAATGACTAGACTGACAAAACAGACTCAAAGAGGCTGAACAAATCTGATTCAGACTCAATGCAAAGTGAAATCAAGGATGGGAAGACATTTTGAATAAAAATGACCAACTTTTGATAATTATCAAAATATCTTTTGCCCCTTTTAGAACAAATCAAATCAGCTACTAGGAGTGAGTTAGGACTGGTACCACGGAACTTCTTTTGTTGAACAACACAGTGTTTCCGTTATCCCCTAAAAATGTGACTAAAATAATAAGATGTTTTAGTTTTTGTCTTTTTTTTTTTAAATATCTGCAGTGAGTAATGCTGCACCTCCAGTATCTGAAGCTTTAATGTGATCGTGCTTTTAGGACGAGCCGGCTGAAGTGAGAATGTGTGTTTGTGAAAATACACTCAGGGTGTAAACACTCAGACACACACACACACATTTCTGCATGAATCTCAGAGAGGATGGGAAAGAGTCCAAGGTGTCACAAAATAAAACCCATCACCAAAGTACTCACTCACACAAACAAACTCACACATACACACGCACACACACAGTCTGAGATGTGAAAAGTGTGTACTTGTCTTACAGAGGTCAGAGAGTACCAAAGCCTTCAAGTGGGCAATGTTTTCAACAGTCTACCAGAAAGAATTCATTCCAGCAACTAAAATTAAAGAAATTACTTTTAGGTTGTTTCACTTTTTGACTTCCAAGCAAACTTTAAAAAGCAGAAAATTAAAAAAGAGCGTAAACTGGTTCAATCTGGGTCCCTGTTACATTTTTTTTTTCAAGTCAGCTGTACAGCTGGTTCAGAGCCGGTGCCTAATCTCAAACCAGTTTTTTGATTTTGGCCCCAACAGAACAGGCTCTTGGCCGGGAAAATTGGCTGCAACACAGCACCACTTTGCTGGTTTCAAACCTAGAGCTGTTAGAACAGGGGCTGGGGGTGCCTTGTGGCCAGTAATCTATAAATGTTTTAGCTGTTTAGCACGTAGATGTTACAAATGTAGCATTGAGGCTAGCTAGTTGTTGGTCAGCTAACATTACCCAAGCAAGCATAGCTACTATTTTCTCATCGATAAAATGAGTAGTATGACTTCTTGGATAACCTTAGTTGACCAACAGCGAGCTACGCTGGTAATGTAATGCAACATCACAGTAATGACATGGCCCTAAGGTGGCTCTCTAGCCCGTGGAAAAGCAAACCGGTTCTTAGAAGGTTCTCAAGTTGAACAACTCTGAACTGGCACTAGCACCAGCCCAGAACTAGCACTAGGTTCACATTGTTAGAAAGGGGGGTATGTGTTATACCATGTTCCAATCACTGTTTCTGCAAAGTGACTCCACAAATACCTGCAATAATTTACAAACATTTAATAATAAGTAAACTAAAAAATAGGTGGGAAGCCAGTTTTGAATAAACAGCAACAGTTGTGACCCAAATGGCTCCAGCAAGATGGCAACAGAGGACATCTGTGACATCTCAAATAAATAGGAATGGAAACAAAGTGTAAAAACAAAACAAAAAATACATCAATGCAAATCATAATGTAAACAAGCCTTCTATCACGGCTTTTAAATATATTACAGAGTGGGTGTCCTTACAATTATCACAGTCCAAACCTGGACCTGAGCTGGGTTTTTACTTTGACGATCAGGCTGCAGATTTTTCAAGTGAAATGTCTTTTCTTTTTTTTTTTTAAAGACAAACCTTTGAATGAGCTTTTACTGTCAGCCTGACTTAATTTCAGCCTCCATCAATTGTTGAACTCAGCAGGTCAAGATACATATTTGAAGCTAAAACTTAAGACTGCCTCAGAGCAAAAACCGTAACACAGGTCTAGGTCTGTCAGATACTGGACACCGGGGGCTCAGCTGGAGACACAGATGTTGTTTAGACCATGAAGCGGTGCTCCTTGCCATCGTGGGCCATGAGGATGACGTTGCGGTTGGAGGTCCAGATGAGGCGGGCGAGCTTCAGGTAGTTCTGGGAGCCCGGGGATGCCGGCTGCACAGGAGGAACCTGGTAGGTCTTAATGCAGCGAAGCTGAGGGGCAGAGTTCAACATCCCGATGCTGCCCAGCAGACTGGTGTTCATCTGAGGGGGGCAAGAGACACGTAAATTCCAGCCCTTTCTCCAGATCATTTGGCACAGCTCAGCAATAATAATAATAATAATATCTTCTCACTTTTATAATTCAGCCAATGTTTTAACCTATGATTATGTGTGCTCATATATCACTTTAATAATACATTTTACAGAATGCTTTGTACAGGGGGGGGCGATGCCTTCTTGATTTTAAGGCACACTAGAAAAATATACAGAGTAGGCCTATATCGTAGCATTTGGTGAAGAAGTAAAGCAAATAAACTTATATATTTTTATTAACTATGTCCAAGCAGCAGAGACAAGAAAACACTGAATTTGTCAAAAAAGAAGCCTTGTAAGTCTGTATGATTGTTAAAACAAATTTTTAAAAATACATTACAAAATACATAATGCAGACAGAGAATTGTATAAAAAGTTCCCTAAACAGAAAATAATCTGCTCAAAAGTCATCCAAATCACAAATTTTTTACAACCTTCTTGCAGTTACTGAGTTCATTGTATAGTTTTCAATATAATATGAAATATAAAATTCGTCACTTAGTCAGGGGTTATCAGTTTACTAAATGATAGAAAAGGGGTCCCTTGAGGAAAAAGTTTGGGAACCACTTACTTAGTAGAAAAACCTTAATGCAAAAAAAATAAATAAAAATCAAACAATTTATTTGATTGAACTATGTTTTGTATGTCGACAACTAGCACAAAACATACAAAGGTCTCACTGTGGTTGGGTCTTAATGTTATTACTAAAAGGATACGTTTCTGGATTGTATTTAGGATTATTGTATTATTCTGTCTTGAATTAATTTATTTTTGAATAAAGAAAGAAAGAAAAGAAAGAAAGAAACTTAAAGGAGCCGACTCGTTCACTAATGATAGATCACTAGATAACACTAATCCATCAATCTGAGTATATTTACGCTGTAAAAGGTAAAAACTACTGACAGGGTCCATCAGCAGTCACCATAATTAGGAATGCATTGATACTGGTACCAGTATTGGGTATCAGGTCTCACATTGTGCTCATGTACTCCTGGAGTCATACTACCTGTAATCATAAAACTACTCTGATAGCACTTTACGGCAATGTGACATTACATAACCTCACGTTAGTTTAGCAGGTAGGTGGAGGAGAAGTAATGTCAACCTTGACAAGAACATTAGCAACATTGGAATGCACTTTTTCAGTTTGTAATCCCGATGCATGTATTTGCATCAGTTCAAGGGGCCCCTTTTTTTTTTTTTGAGAGGCTTGCCAACTGTTTTTCATTGGAAAAAATAAATATCTCCATTTAAAGAGTCAAAAGTGTTTTTGGGTTTGTTCATTGTATTAATGTCATGATCTTAGGTCATGATCATAAATATATGTATATGTGTAAGTGTTATCGGTCATCGGTATCGGCCTTTAGGAGCTGAAAGTTATTGGTTATCAGTATTGGTTTAAAAAAAAAGTTATTGTGCATCCCTAGTTACAACTGTAATGGTATTTTTAAGTACTCGGTATCGGCAAATACCCAAGTGTTAGAATTTGTTTGTGTATTTGGTCTGAAAAACAGTGGTATCAGTGCAGCCCTTACCAGAATCTAAAGTGGTGTTTTCAAATGTTAGAGAAAGCAGCAAATTCTAAAATTACTAAACTTGGTAATGCTAACAGTAAAGCTGATGTAAATGATTACACTTAGAAACCAGTAATCCTAGTGAAAAATGAGTCAGTGAATATTTTGGTAAGAAGACCCTCATCACCAGTTCCTGATAGTGATGGATCTGCTGAACGCTCTGAGGGAACATGGAGATTAACCCGTGAGGCCTCTGTCGCTGTGTCCTGTGAAGGAGGCAGAGCCTGAAACTGCACACAGTGAGTGTGTGTGTAGGAAAAACACTGCGAGTAGAAACTCTATCGTTTCCTGAGACGACACCGCCCCTGACTCAAACTCAAACACACACACACACACACACACACACACACACACACACCGACAGAGCGTCTGCCAGCTCATTACCACAGCAGCCGTCTTGTCGGCGCACTAGCAGCGGTTTATGCTTACAGTAATGCCATTAGTGTGTGTGTGTGCATGTGTGTGTGTGTGTGTGTGTGTGTGTGTGTGTGTGTGTGTGTGTGTGTGTGTGGACAGTCGTGTCAGAGGTCGTAAAGACCTTTCATTCAAAATAACAGTTCTGGGAAGAAGATAAGAAGTGTGTGTGTGTGTGTGTGTTTATCATTTACCTGTATGACTGCTCGCCTGACTGACTGTATTATTGTTTATTTATTACTGTTTATTTAGATGTGGTTCGGATTTCTTTTGTGCACTGCACTTTTATTTGCTTGAATGTTTTTTTAGTTTGTAAACCATAAGATAAACATAAATGTAAATAAATGAGAATAAAATTAAATCTAATATAAAAAGCCAGAGGAATAGGACTGGGTAAAGTATTTTTGGGGGCTTTTATTGCCTTTATTATGGTGACAGCTGAAGACAGACAGGAAAGGGGGGCAGAGAGAGGGGATGTCACGCAGCAAAGGGCCGCAGGTCGGATTCGAACCCTGGGCCGCTGCAGCGAGGACTCAGCCTCAGTACATGGGACACCAGCTCTACCAACTGAGCTAACCGGGCGCCCTGCAAACCTTTAAGGGTACCAAGCGAATTAGGTTGGTACTACTGAGTACCGATTCATGTTTAATTAATTCAGAGCTGCCAACTCTCACGCTTTCGCCGTGTGACACAGGGTTTTGCCTGTTTTCACACGCACTCACGCCACACATCCAATTTCTCACGCAAAAAAAATCCGATCTTGGGCTGAGACTCGTTCGTTCCTGTTTAAACTCCCCGACGGTAGATGGCGCTGATGAGTGCCACTGAACCCTATGCGCTGCACCTATATATGCTGCACCCCGTTCTATATATACAGTCTATGGCACCCCGAAGTTAGCGACAGAAGAAGAGATACCGAGAAAACAGCGCGAAGGAACTACCTCGAGAAGTCTGATGAGAATCTGAGCTGAGACTAGGTATGTAACAATGAAATGTCGTCCAATTGAGTACTCACTCTCTTAAACCTTAAATCTTAAAATAAATTATTTGTTTGTGTTTGAGCGTGTGAACATGATTTAATGTGGTGAAAGCTGTCATACCAAGCAGCAGCCGTTTTTGGCTGAACATAAATCATGAAGTGCTCTTAAGAATATAATTATTCACAGCATAGGTTAGGTTTCAGTTAAGAATTAGTTTAATACCATTCTAATCAAAATATCAATCAACCTACAGGTACCTAGGTCAAATCTTAAACACTGGTCTATGAATAAGGCTTTATTGTGATACAGGCAGTCATTTAGGCACAACAATAGTTTTCTGGTTGAATGTTCAGCTCAAGTCTAGAAGGCCCTACAAGTCATGATGCCGAACATGAATCAGAATAAGTTCAGGTATTGCACATCTTTAGCAGACCACCCAAAAATCCACTAGAATGCAGGAAGTCACATCTACTTAATCCAAAATTTCCTGGGGTTGGACCTTCAGCGATGTCTGCTTCTCAGAATGTAACCAATACTGTTCATCTCCAGTAGGCTGCCCCTATCAGCGGCTTTGGGCCTCCCCACAAACCACCAGAATGCAGGGTACAACATGGGTACAACATCAAATGAATTCCAATTCTCTGATATCTGAGCCACCAACTTGTGTGGCTGCGTGCGCGGCATCATTTTGGTCACCCCTGACAAAATCTCACTCCAAGGTTTTTTGAAAAGTTGGCAGGTATGTTAATTGGTGCTACACATTTTGCTACCTGAGAGCAGGGGATGCAGGCATTGTATTGCCAAACGTAAAGCTGGCCAGGTCAAATACATCGAACCTGAAGAATGTTACGTTACCTTGTTTGATTGTTTGTCTGAAATCAACGTCCCCCGCAGCAGCAGCTAATATTAGCACGTCTGCAGCAGGTGCTGAAGTTTAACCCTTCAGGTGCAAAAAATTCGACATCCTCATCGACATTTTCGGGTAATTAATTAGCTTGTTGCTGGAGATAATGGGGATTTTTTCACTCTTGACATTAGCTTACAGTTTTACTAGCATTAGCCACAGGGCTGTCAACTCACGCACTGACCGTGAGACTTTTTACAGGCTTTCATGTCACTAGTCCACTGTGTCAAGCAGTTCTCACGCAGTGAAAAACCACCATAGTTTCTCCCTAGTTGATGGAAAGGAAGGGTGAAAGGAGTGAGTTGCACTCTGCAACTACAATAAGATCCCACTAAATCTTACACACTGGACCATTCAAATCTTAAATAGGGACTGGGGGAAAAAAGCTTTCTCTGATGTGAACTGAGATCCAATCCAACGGTGTTTACTAAAGCAGAGAGAATATCAGCTGTGATGGCTTCAAAGCCCTTTAAGACTCAAGAAAGAAATCATGTTGTCATAAGAGAATGTGAGAAAGTAATGTACTGTATGCATATGTGTGTGTGTGTGTGTGTGTGTGTGTGTGTGTGTGTGAGACTCATTTACCTGCCAAAAAGAGATGTGGCTGTCAGCGCTGGAGTAAGTTGCCAGGTAACGGCCATCAGGGGCAAACGACACCGCTGTGATCGGACCCTTATGACCATGGATGTTCTAGAGAGAGAGAGAGAGAGAGAGAGAGAGAGAGAGAAAAATTCAAATTCCTAAGAGTCCTAAAAGTTTGAATGGAGTTTCTATGTCAGTGTATGAATGAGTGGGTTCCATTGTACCCACTCAGTTAAATATTTTTAGTTTGAATGGGATTTGAAAGTTGAATAATAGAAAAAATGAATGAAAGTATGAATGAGTAGTGTAGAGTTGAAAATGCATGAAAAATGAAAAATGTTAGAATTTTTAACATCTGTTTGAATGGGGAAAATATCAGGAAAACCTGAAAGTTTTAATTGGTGGATCATTTGGTGAAGATGTTTCTTTCACATTACTGTTTGTGATAAATACCAGGTTTTGGCTCAAATACAGAGAAGAGAAAACAAAAACTACTGGAAGCATCCTGCTAGCAGAGGGATGTAAATATGGGAATCAACCGAAGTAGACAAAATGACAAAATTAATAAATCATAAAACAAAATGTAATAACAGGTGAACAAATTGATTTGCAAACACTTCCACGTTCCCTGGAAAATGAAAAATGGAAATAACCAAGTGAGTATGTGTGCAGCACACCCAGTGCCTACTATGATACAGTACTACTGCTACAACTGATAAGAAACTATTTCATAAGTGAATTGTGTAATTGATCTCTGATCTACCTCATGAAAATGCCATTAGTTGCTACACTGTGTAAATATTCAGCTCATAGAGGAGAGCTGAGCTGTGTGTTTAAGTGTGTGTGTGTGTGTGAGAAAGGTGTTGCTGCTGTTGCTGTAGGGGTACACTCTCTAAAACTAGGATTTTATTTTTTGTATGTTTCAGTATCATCAGCTGCTTTTGTATGTACGATGCAGTAGTGATGTGCATCTGCATCACTGAAGCTGATGCGATAAAAACTTTACAATATATTAAAAATACATGTGAAGCCACTATCAATGTATACAGTTCGCCCCTATTGTGATACAGTGAGATTTAATACAATGCGATTCAACGCGACACAACATGATGCAAAGTAATATGATGTTATGCAACTTAATTAACTTAAAGGTTTTTTTTTTTTTTTTTTAAAGTATTGTTTGGGGCTTTTATTGCTTTTTCAGCTGAAGATAGACAGGAAAGGGGGCAGAGAGAGGGGATGACAAGCAGTAAAGGGCCGCAGGTAACCGGGCACCCTGGTAAAGAGTTTGATTTTCTTTGGTGTCTACTCAAGCAGCCTGAGAAACATCTAAAATGATTGGTCACATTTCTAAATAATAATGGCACACGGGTAAGTCTACTAAGAGTTATATATATCAGTAATTACTGATGCAAAGTTGATGTTAGAAACGATGAATCGCAAATTCATCCCAAATTCTACCTGATGCACATTTTTTTAAATCAGGATGATAACATCACAAACTTTCATGGGGTGCACCGATGCAAATTGGTGAATCTTACCATCCGCAGTCCTCTCAATTTCCTGCTGGCTTCATGAAATAAATTTTGCATTATCAATAACAAATTACACATTCAGGCTTGTTATTTTATGGAAGTGGAATTGGATAAGTAATATTAAATAAACATTACACAAAATGAGATAGTAAGAGGGCAAATTTCCTTAATCTAAGATAATGGAGCGTTTGGAGTGTTTCTGTCTGCAGCTGGAGGTTAAATATGAGTTTGTCTGGACACTGATGGATCTAAGTGCCCAACTGAAATCAACAAATTAAGTTGTGTTAAACTGTGATGAGTCTTTTCAGTCTTGTTACCTCCAGCACATACTGTACTGTGGTGTGCTGTACCACACCACCATCAGACTGGCGGCCTGTGACTTTATCATCATGCACTCCAAGCTACAATACCTGCTTTCTTCATTGTGCTGAATGCAAACTGATGTCCTCTGGTTTCCCTTATACTGCCTTATTGTCCTGTCTGCAATATGTCTCTGAATGCCATAAGATTGCTCGGTTCGCATGTCTGTCTTTGGATTTCGTTATTGCCAGGCACTAAACGATAAAAAAGTGTGTTTATGTGAGTGTGTGTGTTGCTCTGTACGGCCCAAATCTGTACCACAATTCCACCAGTTTATGAAGTGTGAAGCAGTGTTATTGAGGTTTTATAGAACCTTTTCAGAGATGAAGAACAGCCTGGAACAAATAGTCACTCGACAATATCAAACGTTTTTTACAAAAAAAAAAAACCCTCAAGCGTCTCTCAAGCACCTCTACATCGTTCCTCATCACCCATTCTAGCTAAAATGAGAGCCAAACTTGAATTCTCCACAAGATTCCTCTTGTTGATGAATCCAAACTGCGGCTCGAGATCAAGCACAGACTTCAATAAATTCTGTTTTGTGATAAAGACGAGATGAAGAAAGATTTTGGTCCTCGTTGAAACTTCATTGAGGCGTCTCAGAAAAACTCGTTTTGCAGCCCAGATTTTCCTTGACAGTAAGTGTTTGCTTTGGACGACATAATTCCATCAGATGAGGGGCAGCTTCTGGTCCAACAGATGCTGCCATTCGCCTCCAGAACTCAGGGGACAAAATAAAGCGACGCTGCGCCGTGTTTAACGCAATAAACTGTCCCACCAGATGCAGGGTGTGTAACGCAATAAATGCCCTCCCAGAAATCCCCACCCTGCCTCTGCTTGCGAGTGGGATTACAAACTCTCACCTCCAGATGAGATTAAGACGCGTCGCCTCAGGCACCCGGGCCATGAAATAATAACACGTCTGTGGCGATTAAAGCAGAAAAAAAATAATAACGCAATGAAATGAAAATCTCATCTTTATAATTCGTTCTCTCCCTCCTCCTTTTAGGAGAAATCCTATTAGATTCCAGCAGTGTTGGCTGAGAAACAAGCTGAATAATTCTGATTTCTTTCTAGCCTTCATCCCCGTCTACCTCTCTTTCTTTTCTCCCTATCTCACCTCTTTATAATCCATTTTTTTAAACCTTCTCTGCATCCTTCTCCTCTTTTATTTTTCTCCTCCATTACTTTCTCTTTGGCGAGATCCCAAATAACATTTCCCATCACCGGAGTGGACAGTTTGTCTTCAAACGTTCATGAGCTCAAAGAATATTTAAGCAGAGGAGAATGAAATATGACCCCAATATGATCTAGATAACTGAGCTTCAATACAATTTCTGGATTCATTACATTCAATAAGCAGATGTCTTTGTGGAAAGCAACCAATTTGGGGTTTAGTGTGTTTTGAATGTGGAGCCAGGGATCCACTAACCTGTTCCAACACTGAGTGGCATTTCCAACATATACTTGCAACTTTGTCTGTGAACGTACTACAAGAAGTTTTTCACTGGTTATGAAACACTCTCAGCTTAATACCGATGCATCTATATGACCTACATAAACAAACAAGACATGTGAGAAAATTGGCTGTTTCTGTATACTTATTCTTAATGCCTGCTGGGTCGGATTCAGTCAGATTCCCCTTGAAATCAATGATACGGCGGTGGAAACACATCAACAAAAAAATGAAAGATCCCTTCAGGGGCTCTAAGTACTGGGTGCCTTTGATAGGCGTTGCAAACGTTGAGCCAATGAGCAGAGGATTCAGATTCTTTAAGTGAACAGCTGGTTCATGTCTGAGACTCAATTCCAACCTTTGCATATTTAGAAATCTGCCATCACATTCATCATCCCTTTATGTAGTCAAAAATAATGTCAAAGTGTTTTAAGTATGTACATTGTATGTATTATTAATAGTTTTCATTCTTAAAAGGAAGATAAATGTCCAGCTCTCTGCTAGCTGGTGTGGTGTTTGATTGACAGCAGCTGCCATGCTGCCAGAGTACCACTGTTACACTATAGAGCAATGGTTCCCAAAGCTTCAAGGGGGGGGGGTCGCGAGGCCAAGGGGTGTACAAAAACTTAATATACACAGTCGGCCTATAGCATTTTGTTAATTTCTTTATTTTTATGTTTAGATTATTATTTAAGATCTCAACTTTGAACTCTCTGCTTAACAGCTTCATCCTAAAAATCCATCCTAGAAATTTACGAAGAAAGAACAATGGCCATGGCATCAGTAAGGAGAAAACAAATAAACCAAAACCAAATACCAGTTTTACTCCAAAGTTACGCGCGCACGCACACACACACACACACACACACACACACACACACACACACACACACACACACACACACACACACACACACACACACACACAGGCTCAACATCTAGCCAATCAGAGCTCCTGTTGCTGCTCTGGGGGGGGGGGTACATTGTTTTCAATTGGAAAATGTAATGAGCTTATTAATTAATCGTTAAATGCAAATATATTAGTGCTGTCAAACGATTAAAATATTTAATCGCAATTAATCGCATTAATGTCATAGTTAACTTGCAATTAATCACACATTTTTATCTATTCTAAATGTCCCTTGATTTCTTTTTGTCCCATTATTTTTTCTCATTTTAATGCTCTTATCAACATGGAAAAGTGGATCGGCTTGCTTTGTGCAAATGTTGTTTTTATTGAAAAATCATCCATTGTCGCCTGGCTTTGACAAGGGGTCGGAGAATTCGCATCAGCTGTGTGTTTGGCCATCAAGTGGTATTTCAGACTGGACGTGCTGTGATGATAGCTCAGTTCACAACGACAAAACACACAGATCACTTTGGTCTTGTCAATGGAACCATTTGGCAACTTTTTAAAAGGAAACTTTCCATTCAGAATATTACTGGCATCCATTTCGGTGTCTCACGCTCGCCATCCACTCAAAACGTAACGTCTACTACTCTTAAACAAGTGTGTGCGGCGTGTCTGTTGTTTTGTTTGCGGTCTAGATCCGGTGTGGTGTTGTAGTTTTTCTAACGTTACTAGTTGTTGCAACAGCATGTGAAAAAAACTACAGAGTTAAACAAACGTTAATCTTGCAATAAAAAAATTGACGCCGTTAAAATGGGTTTGCGTTAACGCCGTTAATAACGCGTTTAACTGACAGCATTAAAATATATACATATTATTTAGTAACTCCTGGCTCCATGGAATGCAAGCATTTAGTTTGTTATATGAGACAGTAACATGTGTAAACTGTCATCCAATCAGAGTGCATAGCTGACTGCATTTTCTGCATACAGAATCTGAGAATATGAGATGAGCCCATGACCTTATTGTGATAACCTGATGACGACCTGGTGGAAGAGGACAAGAAAAAAGAACATGTATGGAGAGACAGTGCAAGACAGAGAGAAACAGGATGCAGTTTAGAATTGTTTAATGTGCATCAAATATTGATGCTTTCATATATATTATGATCAGTGTGCGTGCGTGTACGTGTGTGTGTGTGTGTGTGAGTGTGTCACGGTGGACTGCCTACCAAATCAATCAGCCTATCAGAGAGCAGTGAAGCACACTGAAACCATTTACAGCACTCTGTACCTCAATACACCTGACGCCTGGGGACTCCACTGTGTGTGTGTGTGTGTGTGCGCGCGTGTCCCCTAGAACTTCTTAAACCCAGCCCAGCCTTAGAATGAGACTTATTTTAACCAATAGAGGGATTCTTTCCACAGAAAGATGCATCACTCACAGATTGTGTATTCAATTTTTGAATTATTTTTCTGCATCCACCTTAACCTTATCCGTGCATATTCAAGTACTTTCTATGGATGTGTTCGGTGCATTAAGTTGCATGATGAAGTATCGGCGGTCACATGGGGCAAGGCTGGAGTAGATCCTGTCAGTGTGCACTGGAGCAGTAACAAAGGTCTACTACACCACCTGTTTAGCCACTATTCAACAATAGCATCATATTCTTTTAAGGCAATGCCAGGACCCTGGTATAGGTCTAGATATCATTCTAGCAAGCTGAAGCTAACAATGACACACAGGGGAATGCCAACGAAGGTAATGATGGCGCTAAGTGCTGTGTCAAAAAGACTTGTTGTTCCAATAAGGAAATACTAACATTGCTAACAAGTGGGTACAGATATTAGTAGAGTTGCAGCTACTAAGTATGTTGGTTTTAATAGAAAACACCCACTGTTGACAATAATAAAAGTTCATACAACAAATATAAAAATTGTAAATACAAAAGCATCTGAATATGTGTAAGAGGACAGGGCTGGTGCAGGTAACTAGGGAAGTGTGAGGTCACCTGTCACACATTCTGTATTTATATTACATATAATGAACCAGTTACTTAATCAGATATATATTATTACATCAGTGAATTTTCATTTTGACATAATCTTTCCACTGTATATGGTGTATATGTTTGTATGTGATTCATTATTTTGTGGCAGTTGTATACACTTCTGTTTGCTCTTTTAATTATTTATAAATTTTTCATTTTAGTTAACTCAAGGATGCAATCTTATGCAATATCATTATGCGTCACACTGCTAACTTGCAGATTCTCCAGACATTTTTTTGCACATTCCTGTACAGCTCTTTTGTTTAATTTATTTTACAATTCTGCCATATTGTACATATTGTCTCTTTTTATTGTCTCTGTTTTTATCTTGATCTATTTTTTTTATATTTAATTGTCATGCACCAACTTATTTGTACATGAAAACCTACTAGGCAATAAACTTGATTCTGGTTCTGATTCTAAATGATGATCAGCTTGGGCTGCTTTCTCCAGGTTTCTGATTCTTTAGGTCACTGCAAGCTACACTGAGTGACTTCCGATGGGATGTACAGTGGGAGGTGCTGACTCTGAGGCAGAGCTTCCGTGGTTACAGAAAGAAACAGATGCAGGCAGAGAGAAAGATCAGTCAGATTGTTTCTTTGTGTTCAATTAGTAGACTCAGTAGAGTCTGTTAAAGAAGCAGAGCAAGCAGCTGGACACGCACACGCACACACACACACACACACACACACACACACACACACACACACACACACACACACACAGAGTAATGCAGCTGACAAAGGGCTGTTCACGGAGGCTGATCAAAGCTGTGGCAGATGGTCATGCAGGGAATAGCTAGCTAGGGTTGGACACACACACATGCACACACACACACTAACGGATTATGAACAAAATCTCTGCCTGTCATCTTCTTCTTCCTCTTCTCCACAAACTCTTATTTCTTTGCTTCCTTCCTTCCCATCCCAACTTTCCCCTGTAGTTTCACTGGGCACCTTAGAGTCTCTGTCCCACCAACGCTGTCTCGAGTTTTGAGTCTGTATGTGTGAACCCCTAAGAGTCTACAGCACTGTGAGATTGTAATTTTGCACAGCGGTGCTTTGAGCTAAATGCTACCATCACCTTGCTAACATGATGTGATGTTTGGCAGGTAATGAGCAACCAACTTAGTTTACTGTACCATGTTAGGATGCTAACATTTACTAATTAGCACTAAACTCAAAGAACAGGTGAAGCTGATGGGTATGTCATTAGTCTTGCATAAACCAAAGTATTGGACAAATTAAAGTTCTGATCTAATAATGCTAGAAGATTGGGGGATCACCAAAGTTATTAGAAATCCTCCTCTTGGGAGCTTGAGTATATTTTCATGACAGTCCATCCTAAAGTTAAAGATATTTCACTCTGAACCACTAATATCAACCTTGTGGTGGCACTAGAGGACAAATCACAAAAATCCGTAGGATTTATCCCATGGGGACCGAGAATGTCTGTACACAAATTCATGGCAATCCATGTAATCGTTTTTGAGATATTTCATTCTGGACCGAAGTGGTGGACCAACATTGCCATCCCTTATACTGCTGCTAGCATCACTAAAAACCTTTTAGTGGCTTCACTGTATAGATTCAGGATAAAAAACAATGAGTTGCTATGTATTATAACCAGACTGTAATTAATCTGCTGACTAGGGCTGCACCTAACGATTATTTTCATTATGGATTAATCTGTCAATACTTTTCTTGTCTAATTAATTTGCTGTTTTCTCCATAAAATGTCAGAAAATGGCGAAAAATGTTGATAATTGATTCCTAAAGCTATTTAGTATATGTTTTGTCCTAATCATAGAATTAGGATTTTTTTTCTTAACAAAAAATGACTCAAACTGATTAATCGATTATCAAAATGATTGAAGATTAAGTTAATAGTTGACTAATAGTTGACAACTAATTATTATTATTAATCCTTACAGCTCTAATTATGACAATATTTAATGGCAGTAAAATGTGCTTAAACATAGCTTACAATATATGTTAATTTCTTTCTTGCTAAAATAATTGGCCATGACTTGTAGCTTACATTTGAAATGAAACGTGTGTGAGCAACACACACACACACACACACACACACACACACAATTCCTGCATAGCCATTATCTAATTAAATATTAATTACTGCAAATAACACAAAGTAAAATCGTCTCCTGTCTTTACACCGTGCACAGAAAAAATAAACACCTACACACGCAATCAAACTAAATGTCGGGTGAACAGGGGCCAGTGCTGTTATCAGATATTAATGACCCCCTCCACCAGACTAGACTTCTCAGGTTACTGCAAATCAATACGCAGCAAATTACCAACACACACAATCACACACAAACGCACATGCTACACACTCAAATATAAACGTGCGCAAAGACAAAAACGTGATTAACAGAGTCATCGCTTCATCATTAATCAATTACTGAGAGAGAAAAAAATAAGTAGAGGCAACAAAACTCCCCTCATGCTTCTCTCCTTTCTCCTCCCCTCTCATTTCCCCTATTTACACCCCTTGTTACTACTCTCCTCTGTTTCCTCTACTCTCCTGTCATTAGAGGTAAAATGTTCTTTTCATGGATGGAGAGAAAAATTTAAAGATAGACTGAGAACAACTAGACATACTGAAGGGAAATGGACAGATTAATAAAATAGTGGAAGCTGGTTGGTAAATCGATTAATACAGTGGGTGATCGGTTTAGTGATCGATGGATGGATGTCGATAAAACAAAGAATGGACAGAAGACTGTATGAAATATTGGAGGTAAAAATGGTGGATGATCAGATGGAAAGGTTGCAGAATATAGTTGAAGGATGTAAGGATAGAATGAAGGAATAAAGGGTGGATGGAGAATGAAAGGAGGGGTGGATTAATAGATGATGGGTGGATATACAGTATTAGATTGGGAGCAGATGGATGGATGGATGCATGGATGGATGGATTGATGGATGGATGGATAGATGAATGGATGGATGGTTGAAAGGAAGGATGGAGATGATTGGTGTACAGGAGGCTAGATGGATACATGGAAAAATGGTTTGACTGACGGAAGGAAGGAGGGATAGATAGAAATGATTATGAGAAGAAGTATGGTCGGATGAATGATGATTGATAGACGGATAGACATACTGAATTGTTGAAGAGGTGGATGGATGAATGGATACAACTTGCAGGCAGGAGAAAGCTCAACATTTGTGTCAATCAGAAACTAATCAGCTGCTTGAGCTTTTCCTTCCTGTTGCAATCAAACAACAGAGCAGCTGAGATGAGCGGTGTGTTTAATGTACCTGGCATTTTCCAGTACGGACGTCGTAAAGGGCCACTGAACCCTGGCGAGCTCCAACGGCGATGCGGTGACTACGGTCACAGTATCCAACCATGTAGAACCTGACCAAGAGACAACAGATACATGTTAACACATTAACATTGACCTGGGTATCAATCATCTTATGTTCCCACTGGTTCCCATAAAACTAAACCACAAGAACTCTGTATGTCTGTTAAGTAGTAGTATTGGAAGATAGGATTGCATAGAAATAAACCAACACTCTTACAATGTACATTCACATACAAAAACATTGTTAATTCTTGAAACGAAAAGACACACTTGACACAAGCATATAGAAAAATTCTATTTAAAATCTACTCTGAAAGAAAAGATTGGGATTGGGTAGACAAACCAACAAGACAAAAAACACAACCAAGAAAAGACAACTAGTAGTGTCTGCCTAAGTTGATGGTCTGATGGTCAAGTTTCTGCACATAAGTCCCCAGGTGCTGTGTTCCTTGTTTCCCCTGTGGCGCAGCTCATTTCCAGCAGTAACTGCAGAAATTCCTAGAAGGTGTCGGATGGTCCAACAATGTGTGAACCTCCTCACACCTTTCGGGTTGTTAACTGGGACTGGACAATTGGACTTTCTAACATTTGCACCTACTTCCACAGCAATTGGCCAGGTGTGTGGAGGTGAGAAGGTGGAGTTTGAGTGTCTCTCTCAAGGTCTTTCTTCTTCATTCTTTGAACAACAATGAACAATTATGATCCTGAGCACCTCAGACGTTACCCTTTTGCTGACATGTCTTTCAAATAGCCAGAAGGGGATGCTAAAGCAGATGGGCTTCACTTGTAATTCTAAATTGGGCAATCTTGGAATTAGGTTCAATCAAACACTGGCATCTCACGTTGGGTATGTTCAAGGGATCACAGTGGGCAGCAATGAGCTAGAGCTGGCTACAAAAAACAGGAGGCCTTAATTCACATACCCACATGTCACTTTCCACATATTCCTGCCTGTTGGCTTTTTGGCTGCAGTTCGCCATCTAGTCCAACTAGTGAGTGGGTGCTTGCCATAGAGTGTGATCACTTTAGTGGGAAAAGAAAAGGGGTGCCAAAGCAGTAGCTTCCATTGTGGCTCTGGCTTGAAGGCAAAAGCCTAGCTTGGAATTCAGTCAAAGACTGGCATGACAGGTTTCTTGACAATGTCACATAGGTCTTGTTGGACTCATCAGCTCTAATATTACACATTGTTTTAGCATCCATAAACAATTTGACAATTCCAACCATGCGTTCATCGCGTCACATAAGTAAAGCATGGTATTATTTGATTGTTCAAATCTTTTAAAATATTTTTTTCCTCTGTGCTCACTTTTCATTCAAACTCAACACAGTCCACAGCTGACATCTAGAACAACAGTATTTAGAAGCCTACATTACATAATATAAACATAACACCTCATATAAATGTGTTGTTGTTGTTTTTCACATTTTTGTCAACCCACACCAACTGTTATTTCCAAGCCAAGAAGAGACAGAAAAGACACAAATACACATTAATATATTCACTCACTCTCTCACTCTCACACACACACACACAATGATTGAGATGGTTCAGCCACATGCCCTGAGGCTGATATCTGTACCTGTGAGTTGACCTCTGACCTTTGACATCAGCTCCCAGAGGTTAACTTTCCATAATTCTTCCCCAGTTCGCCCACCACTGCCCTTATAAGGAAATGTTAGGGGCTTGTTAAAACACACACACACACACACACACACACACACACACACACACACACACACACACACACACACACACACACACACACACACACACACACACACACACACACACACACTTACTTGCAAATAGCAGGGAAGCACTCCTGCAGTCCTTTCTTTTTCACTAGAGAACCTTCAATACAGTACATGATGATATCCATCACCTGAAAAAAAGGGAGAAGAAGAGCAATAGTAGGAGGTTATGATATCTACCATAATGGTTGTTTTGTTTCTTTTATTTTGTATAGTAGCTATGAAAATGTAACATTTTTCAGAAATGTGGGTAACAGTCTTATAAAGCCAAACACAAGTCTTTACTTAGATTGTGTGGACTGCCATCTTCATGAGTGGTAATATATCATCTGATATGTAATAATGTTTACCTCGACCAGCAGATCCACAACGTCTCCAGGCATCTTCTCTATCAGGATGTCAATCACTCGCAGTATCTCAGTCTTGGCTCTGGCCAGAGTGGTGGTGTGAACGTTCTGCTGCGACTGAGAGTTTGCCTGAGCTGCGTTGTGCCGATGAACCTGGAAAACATAAATGTGTTATTGCTGGAGGAAGAATATATGAAAGACATGACATGATTAACATACTGCATTTGAGACCATTAAATTAATTAACAAGTTCCTATGTTGGGTGGGTGCGTGTGGTTTTATAGAGTGTATACATGCATGCTACTATTAGCAATCAAACCAAATGTCGGGTGTTGTTTGAACTTTTTCAATATTACGGCCAATATGACACCTTAGTTTAAGAAATATAAATATGTTTTTTCAAGAAAACTACTGTCTTAACTGAAAAGAGTTCTTAAATATTAACTGACTGTACAAGAATTTTGCTAACATAAAAATACAGTCTAACTAAAAGGATAGGCAAACAATTTCTCAAGTCTGTCCACAGTCAATGTACAATGAAAGTTTTTCCTTCTGTTTATATTGGCTATATTAGATATTAGATCCCTTCTTAATGTGCTTCTAAGTAGAGTTGGGTGATCTGGCCAAAAAATAATATAATCACAATCTATTAGAAATCACGATCCATGATCTAAATTGCGGTCTTTTTTTCTCAATCTAGAAACATGGTGACTATAGCCTGAGAAAAACAGCAAAGTTTCTCACTTTGCAAAATTAAAACAATGCATTACTTCGTTTTTTAATTATTGCTCACTGCATTAAAGATATTGCACATTATATATATATAGAACACGTTGAGGCCGCTGATATTTTGTTTACATGTCTGTGAAATGTTCAGTCTCACCTCTCTTGCAATGGTGGTGATGAAGGCTGGTGGGCGGGCAGTAGCGATAAGAGAGAGGGCGTGGCGGGATGAGCGAGCTGAGTCAGCCGGCGGGTTGAGGGGCAAACCCATGGTTATACTGTAGAGAGAGAGAGAGAGAGAGAGAGAGAGAGAGAGAGAGAGAGAGAGAGAGAGAGAGAGAGAGAGAGAGAGAGAGAGAGAGAGTAGTGGAGGGTTCATTCAAGTGCCAAAACAACAGAATAAAAACTACAATCATATAAAACCAGGGAAGGCAGTGCAATAAGAGTTAAAAGAAGTCACATTTAATGTTAGAAATACCAAGATCATGAGTCCCATTGGTTCCTACTGAAGATATAAATGTTTACAGCTCACAAAAGTCCAGTCATTTCCTAAAATGACTGTACTGCACTGTAGTTTATAGCAAACAGAGAGTAAAGAGCAGAGGCAGGACAAACTCATTGTGAAGTCCAGTCTAAGAAGTCCCCAGTCAAGTCCAAGTCCCAAACTTTGTGTTTCAAGTCCCCAACAAGTCCTCATGCACCCTTCACAAAAAGTGATGCTATTTAAAAATGTTAAACAGTAACAATACATATACTGAAATACAGTAATGACGACTTAAAGGACCAGTGTGTAGGATTTTGTGGCGTATAAGACTGAAACCCCCTTGCTTCACTCTGCTGTTCCAAGCGTGTAGGAGAAACTACAGTCGGTGTGAAACTCACAAAAAATGCAAAAGGCCTTCTATAGAGCCAGAGTTTGGTTTGTCCGTACTGTACAAACTAGGGATGTGAATCCCCACCACTGAGGTCGATTCAATACACATCTCGATACACTGCCAGTGATACGATACATTAACGATACAGTGGAGCCCCCTGCCGATACGATGCGATACGATTCACCTCTGTTCACAATGCGATGCAATTCATTAATGATTTGACAACGACTTTATACAATGCGAATCGGTTCGATACAATTCGTGATGCGATTCAAAGCGATTCAACACAATACAAAGAATTTACAAGCCCACATCTGGTTTCTAATGTATTTGATACTTGACTGTTTTCTATAAAGAAAACCAATAAATCCAACTTAAAAAGAAGATGCAATTCAATATGGTACAGACAGAGGATTGTTTTATTCCTAATAAACACTAAATCCTAAACAAAAAATATTTTTTTCATTACATGTGTTTTTAATCTCATTCTCTACTTATACAATACTAAATGTATTGTATTCGGGCAATTTCTTTTTGGCCTCTTCATAAAAAAAACAAAACAAACCTTTTCTCAGGTCCTTTTACTAATAGTGTTCTCTGTCTGTAATTTCACAATGTTTTACAAAACACTTATAAAACTTCCCAACATCAACAATGTGCATTGTGCAAATAACTTCATCATAGTGCAATGCCCATACTACTGCCTGCCAGACTGATGTGCTTGAGCTGACACTCTTCTAGTTGGCTAACTGAGCAGTGAGAGCAGAAATCATTGAGATTTATATAACAATATAACAGTTAAACAAAAATAAACAATTGCAACTGCTTACAAATGTAAATGTAAAAAATTAAACTATTGACTGACAGCCACAGCATCACTCACACTGAGGTACATGAGGTACATGACCATGTGATATTTCAGTTTTTCTTTTTTAATAAATTTGCAAAAATTTCTACATTTCTGTTTTTTTCTGTCAAGATGGGGTGCTGAGTGTACATTAATGAGAAATAAAATGAACTTTTTTGATTTTAGCAAATGGCTGCAATGAACCAAAGAGTGAAACATTTAAAGGGGTCTGAATACTTTCCGTACCCACTGTATATCAACTAGAGGTCTTTCTTTTCAAACTTTGGAGTTGTGTGTCTTCCAAGGTACGCTTAATATCTCCTCTTCACCTGTTGTGTCGCTTCCCTCCATTTTTTCTATTTACTAACTAACTGTGTCTGCGACGCCGCGCAAAAAGATAGTGATGGTGCATTTAAGGCGCCTCGAAAACACGGGTGCAGAGGAGATAAACTATGTAATAATCAATGTAATCATGGGTTTTACCGATGCAGACACGCAAAGAAAGATACATTGCACGTTGTATCCGATGCACACTGAAGCTACCGGTGCACTCGCATCGTAAAGTCTGTCTCGGACCACCGATTCAATCGGTGAATCTCTCCATCCCTAGTACAAACATGGTGGTTCAACATGGCGTCCTCCACGGAAGGGGACCAGCAGCGTCTGTAGATAACAATGGCTCATTCTAAGGTAACGAAAACAAAACGATTCCTATAATCTCGTGATTATACACTAATAAAAACATACCTATGAATATTATATTCCATTTCTGACAATAGATTCTCCTCAATGTTACACACTGGACTGGGGTTAATCCACATTTGGTGCTCTAGTGAGTATTTGGGGCAGCAGGATGGTGTGTATGGGATTGAGTCCAAATACACTACAATGTGTGTGTTCATGATAATGAAGGGACATGTCACCCAGTGCAACAGTGTGGCTTACTGGTGTGCTTTTAATAGTTTTTGGACAACAATGGAGCTCAGAGAAATGAGATACATCAGGTTTGACACACACACACACACACACACACAGTACACAGTACACAGTACTAGTTAGTACATACATTCATTATACATTCATTATTGGTTTGGGCCTAACCATTTGATTTGTTGACAATAAGAAAAATACAGAACTTCACCAGACCTATCCTTTAAAGAGACATTTTTATAATGATCTAAAGAGGCAGAGACAGAAAATGAGATAAAACAGAGGAGAGAGGCGAAGAGATCGAGCCTTACTAATATATGGAGTGAAGAGATTAGCGGACAGCTTATAATGTCAAGGCCGAGTCAATGGGAGCCATTCACCAGACGACGGCATAATGGACTCCCACAATGCAACAGGAATTAGACACACACACCCTAACAGCTGGCCACACACCCCTGTGAGTGTCTGTGTGTGTGTGTGTTAGAGAGAGAGAAAGAGAGAGGGGGCGAGAGAGGCCACCTTGTTAAGAAACGACTCAGGGGAGAGAAAGAGAGAGGGAGGGGGAGAGGGAGGGAGACGGCGAGGGAGAGGGA